TATGAGCGTTGTCTATCGAATTTGAGATACTTAAAGATGACACCTGGATATGGATTATTTTTTTAGAAGACTATGACCAGAGAAATTGAGATCTTTACTAATGTAGATTGGGCAGGATCTGTAACCGATAGGAGATCCATATCTGGTTATTACTCATATGTATGGAGTAATTTAATCATTTGGCATAACAAGAAACAATCTGTTGTATCAAGAAGCAGTGCTGAAGCTGAGTTACACTCACTTGCTCATGAAATATGTAAAGGAGTGTGGCTGAAAAAGATATTACTAAAACTAAGATTTTCTGCTCCGACTACTATGAGAATTTGGAGTGATAATCAATCGACTATTAACATGACCAAGAATCCTATGCACCATGACAGAACTAAACATGTCAAGATCGACTGACACTTCATCAGAGAGAAAATTGAAAGCTAGGATATGTCACTACTATACATCCCAACCAGTCAACAAACAGCAGACATACTCACAAAAGTACTACCAAAAAGGGTGTTCAACAATTTTGCATCCAATATAGGATTACTCAACATTTATGTAACATTGAAAAGGAGTGTAGAGTGTATATATATTTACATATATATCTATATAAGGGATAACTTATTCTTTTTTAGGTTTTTTTGTCCTCTCTTTGGTTGTTATGACAGCTGGATATGCCCTCCACTTTAACAACTAATTTTTCTCTTCTTCAACTTGTTAGAATATTTTGTAACCTCTTTTATCAGGGCTGGTACCTATATAATAGCACTTCTTGTGCCCGAGAAAATCAAGGAAAATAGTGAAAGGAATTCTCCTCTTCATTTTGTTCAAATTCTTCTTCCGTCATTTCTTCACTATTTATCTATATATTTTAATTGTTAGAAATAATAAATATAAAATTAATATTATGGTATAATTCACATCATAACAATTTGAGACTTAAAAAAGACTGAAGACATTTTCTTTTTCTGTCTCTAATTTTAAAGTTTAGTAAATAAATCATCTTTTAAGAAAATAAAAGGCAGAAATCAGAAATGAAATCATAACTAAACAGTTTTCTATGACTGCAGGCCCCAAATTTTACATATGAATTTCACAATTTTGATGGAATTCCAAGCATACCCGATCTAACATTAGTGACCATCCTAAATATACTATATATATATATATATAGATATAAAGCCCTCAGACCTCCTCCAAAAGGAAAAAGGAAGAAGTAGAAGCATCATAATACAGTGAAACTAAGAAAACACAACATTGCAAACCCAGGCAAACTTTTCTATTTTGTTCAAAGGCAAAGTGGTAAAGCGTCTCGTACCTGCAAAACCTGGCAGTTTTCCGGTGTGCTTTTTCCTCCCTGAAGTTAGACAATACTAATGATCAAACCCAGCACTTACAAATAACAGAGACAATAAACTAAATTGCTGCAACCATCATGGCAAAAATAAAGTAGGGAAACATACATTTAAAAAGGAGACGCAAATTTCTACCATTTCTTCCTAGGTAACTGTGTTTGCTCGTGTATACACATGGTCTGATGAAATGAGACCAAGTTCAGACAGGCCTTTAAAACTATAGTATTGCAGTACCTTCACTTGGAAAGAAATGCAACACCACAACAACTGATAAAAGGAATTTTGGTCAAAGTAGCACCATAAATAATACTCAATGACAAAGGCATCCTAATTAGGTAGAAATTGTGTCATCAAAACTTTCATGACTCTATCAAGAACAAGGCCCTTGCCCGACCATTTTCTGTTATTTGATTTTCTGTAATTTCCTTTTCTGCAATCTCGGTTAGAATAATTGTTTTGGAATTATCTTTTTACCAATTCAAATTAGGATCACCGTGAAGCTTGATTATCCCACGGCCGACCGGTAAACCCTTGTCTACCTATATGAGGCCTGTAAATGCTAAAAGATTTGTCCTCATTGGTAGTAAATCTTTCGACGTTGACAGTGTTGGAAAGAAGCTTGATGGACTTCGTATCAGTGAAAATAAAGGGGAAGTAGAGTATCTATTACACTAAATAAGGAAGATGTCAAATGGTTTACTGATGCCTAATGCGATTTTTATTGGAAAAAAGGTGGCGACTATTGGAGAATAAACAAGAAAAACCATCGTCGCCATCTTTCTTCGTATTGGGCCCAGCAAAGAAGCTATGAAGCTCTTGAAGCCAAAACAAAGCCGCCCCTAAGCCTTATGGATGTGGAGGCCCAAGTTGAAAACCCGCAATGACTTGTCCAACTCAAAAGATAAGAATACCCTTGGAACAACTGACACTCTCACTCAATCTGATCAGGGGAAACCTAAAGAAGGTTGAAATTCAGACATGACCATCATTTGCTACGATGAAAGGTATGTTGAACTTAGCTTCTCTACTGAGGATAATATCACCAAAACCCTATCAGAGAAAAATCTTGCTTCACAATCTTCATCTCGATCTCTCAACAGATGTCGCGAGCTTGATATTGTTCAGAACGACTTGGAGGAATTTCCTATTGTTTTCATGGGGCAACCAAGAAAGTCGGAATCAGACGATCATTTATACTCTTCATGGGTCTTGCAAAACATCGGGAATATTCAGCAAAATGATTGGGTTAACCTACGAAAACCATGAGGCACAAACCATGGCATTGTTTGAGCAACTGGAAAAGAGAATGATGGAGAAGAAAACTACTATTGAGAAAACACCAAAAATGAAACAGAAGCAAACTGATGGTTGTGCCAGAGAGCTGAAATGTCTCGAATGCTTAGTGAACTACGAGGGCAGACAAAAAAAGAGCTTTGATGAGAGATAATTACACAAATTTAATGATTTCAAAAATTATATCTTGAATGTTAGGGCCTCAACGATGTTTGGAAAAGGATGCTTTGAAAGCCTGTCTCAACAGATAGAAACCAATCATTGTTTGTTTTT